GGGGTGGAGCAATACCAAAATACCGAGTGGTGGGTGTGAGGTTAAAAAAGACACACAGACAGTCACCCAGAAAGCCAGGGGGGCCCCTGGTTCATGCTGAAGTTCAACAGAGCCCTGAAGGGCTAGGGAAGACCCTCCTCTCCGGCCCACACCAGCAGCCTGGTCAAGTACACGATGGTAGACACCACCCCTAGGGTAAGAGGTGGGCCTTCCCGCAGCTTCTGGAGTTTGCCAGGCCACCTCTTCTGCCGGAAGACTGCAGGTGCTCTCCCTGCCTCCCCTTCTCAACTCCCCCGGTCACACCTGCCCCCCTGCAGGGCTGGCCGGTGGGTGACGTCCTCATTGGACCGCCCCCGGTCCAGACCAGCCAGGTCACTCCAGTGGGTCACTGTGCCCTCAGAGACCCGTGCTTCTCCTTCATGGCCAGGGTCACAGCTGCAGCTCACTGATAGGGCTGCCACTGTTTAGGACCGTGACCTTGTCTGTTTTGTCCAGGACCGGGCAGCACACCTGACACCGTGCAGTGCATGCGTGATGACTAGATGACATCCGTGCTGGGTAAGGAGCCTGCCGTGTTTTGTACGCTGGGGACACCGAGGCCCATGTATTCCCCTTCCGAATCCCCCAGCCCCATGCTGCCCTGTGCGGGGCGAAGCCAGTCCCAAGAGGGTTTTCCCTCTGGTGAGACTCTGCTCGTCCTCGGCCCGCTGTGCCGCCAGCACACGCCCTGCAGGACGTGCCTGCGAGTCCACCAGGAACAGCAACCCACTCGAGGTGCTTGGTGACGGTCCCCCCGAATAACGTAAGTGGTCACTTGGGTCTCGTTCACCACCTTGGCAAAAGACAAAGCCCCGAACGACTTGGCTGAGAAGGCAGCTCAGCTAGACCTTTCAATGCCCTGGTTCCTTCTGACGGTACCTGAGTTCCCACCTGTCATGCATTCCACTGAACGGGAAAACCGCCTCCACAGGCATGGCTGTGCCCCTGCCTGCTGCCCCCTCAGTAGTCCTGGGGAACGTGCCCTTGGGACGATCTGGTGTCTTGGTCAGCGATGCAGCTGATGAAACACGGTGTCACAGAAAATAGGAAGTCGAACGGCCGTATTTGTAAATTTGCCGTTTGGTCCGTGCGGTAGTGAACGGCTCACGTGCTGGTGCTGGGGATCGTTTCGGATGGTGATAAAAATAACACCCCATGGGGCTGTTCCCTGTGGCTGGGGGAAGAACAAAACAATAGTGCAAGTCTGAGACCTTGAACTAGACAAGGCTACTGGCCACGGGCTACATGAAGAGCTGCTCCATTTGAGGAACTCGACTCAGTCACATTGGTTGCCCCTTGCGACCCCACTCAGGAAATCACGGTACATATTACTTTTCCAGTTCCTGGGTGACGAGTATTTTTTAAGTTCATTAGAAGTGTATTTAAAGTGCTATGAAGTTTGGCCATTCTGAAGAGATTAGAAGTCTAGACTGGTGAGTCGTTCTGTGAGGTGAAGGATGGGGAAAGGTCAGGAAGCTCCTAGAAGTTCTGGAAAGGAATAGAGTAAGAATAGCAGTGGTGGGCACCCTATGCTTTAGACACTGTTTCATTTTGTGGCACTCCCTGTGGCGTGATCCTCAGAAGAGCAGCCCCGTTAAGCTGCCCTCACAGCTCAGGGAGCAGACACTGCGGTCCCTGCCCGGGAGCCGGGGACACCGAGCCGCACGGGGGCGGCCACTTGCCCCGGCGGGGGCTGCGCTGCCTCTGCTTGAGGGTCCTCTGCCTAGGGGGTCTCAGGTGGAGGGGAAAGGAGGTCCCGGATACCTTGTCGTGGCCCTAAAGGGGCTCAGAACAAGCCTTCCTAAGAGGGGACACTTTCGCACGCAGACTGTTTTGAGTTGAAGGCGATCAGGACCCTGCATGTTCAGGACAACCTTTGGCGCCTCAACTGCCTTGACGAGTCTACAGCAGGGACCTTGCCCGTCACGCGAGTGATCACCAGAAGTCCCTTTTACAACCTACCCGTGTGTCAGGCAAACACCCATCACCGGTTGTCTGCTCTTCCTGTCGTCTTGTGAGTCACCCCTCCCCCCGGCCCCCCGCTGCGAAGGCCAGGGCGCCTTGCTTCGCCCTCAGCTCAGGATGTCATACGGGCCTCATTGCACCTGCGTGTCCCTGAACCCGCCGTGTCTGGGGAGCCTCTGACGCTCATGCACGTGGGTTTCCTGTATGTACCTGTGCAATTAAATGTGGTCATTTTCTCTGATTAGTCTACCATGCTGACTTAATTGTTAGAGCAGCCGGAAGAACCTAGGAGGGTGGAGGAACGTTTCTTCCTCCCCCTCAGCCCCAGGTGCCGGTCCTGGGAGCGGGGGTGGGCTTCGGTGTCTCCCAGGTGGTCTTCCGCTTGGGCCGAGCACACCCCGATATGTCTTCCTGTCCTTTCTGCGGGATGCAGGCCACACAGTCTCGCTGTGTGTGAGCAGCTGTGGAGAGGAAAGTGGCCGCAATTATTCGGGCTCTTCCTCTGGCCCGTCAGAACAACTTTCGTTTCTGAGTGATGTTTTTATCCCCACTGAGGATATGACCTGCTTCCTACATATGCCTTGGCAGAGTTTCTGTATAATTTGCTTGGTCTCCGTAGGCTGAGCCTGGGGTCAGACTCCTGGCACACTCGCGTGGGAAGGCCCCTAACTCTCCACACAGTTGTTGGATGCTCTTGTGTTACTCATGAGGCAGCTGGGGCCCAGGGAGGTGAGAGGGGCCCCTGCAGGGACACACGCGGCCGGCAGCCAATTACCGAGCACGCGGCCATTCATCCGTTTCCCTCGCCACGTTAGTGCTGCGCGAAGAAAGTGTTCCAGATGTTTACGTATCCACTGCCAACAGGACAGATGCCACCCCTGCACTCACGGAGATTGGAGCCCAACCTTAAACACGAGACAGTGGCAGTTTGTCATTGGTTTTCATTCTGACTGCACGTGGGGTGCGGAAGGAGCAATTAACCTGCACACCCGGGAGGGGTGGTCTCGCCCGGAGCCCAGGCGAGGCCTTGTTGCACAATGGTGTTGAGGTGAGCTCCGAAGGACGAGTAGAAATTGAAGGGGGGAGCAGTGAGAGGAGGAGACTCCCAGGACGGAAACAGCGTTTGTAGGAAGAGGAAGAATGGGGGAGCAGGCGCGTGGGAGAACGGGGGAGAGAGGGCACAGGGCTGGGGCGTAGGAGGACCAGGCCTGTGGCCTTGAAGGCCACAGGGACCTGCTCATTTCCCAAAGAATAAAGGGAAGGATTTAATCAGGAGAATGACCTCATTTGTTTGCGCTTAAATAAGCCCATCATCAGCCACTGTGTCCACCCGCCACCCGCCTGAGCAGCGCCTGGGCACCCCGTGGGCCCTCGTGCCGCCCTCCCAGCAGTGCCCGTGTTCTTGACCTCCGCACATAAGTGAAATTACACACACTGAATTGCTCAATTTATTTAAAAGAGATTAGAGCTCTTTGTTACAGAACTTTATATATTTTTTTACCATTAGCCTAGTAAAAATACTGACAGTAGAAACAATTCTTCAACAGATGATAAAATACCAAAGTATTTTCCCTTCTTCAAAAATTATCCCAATACATCTGAGTGGAGCCAGGACACCTATAACAGGCTTCGAAAAAACAATAGGAAGTGAGGTGCGAAGATCTAAGCATTAAGCAGTTTGTTTTCTTGAAAGATACATCCCCTGGACCCCCACCCCCCGACCCCTGCAGAGACCGAGGAGAATCCGCCTGTGACGTAAACGGAAGGTCGCACGCAGTGTGCTGCTTTCCGGGTGGCACGTGGGGGCTTCACCCCCGCGCACCGGTGTGGGGAGGGGACCCAGGGGGACAGACCTCTAGTCACGGCCCGCTGCCTGCTGACAGCTGGACGCAGAAAGCCGGAGTGAACCTGCCAGGGAGCCAGCACAGCGCCCCCCGAGCAGCGCAGGTGCAGAGTCAGGACCCCAGAGTTCAAGTCCGTGATGTCATTAACGAGGGGCGTGTGTGTGCAGAGCTCCGCTGGCCTCTCTGAGCCTGAGCTGCTTCTGTGAAAGGGGGCCGATGCTACCCGTCGATGGAGGTGTGTGCGATCCACCGTGGTAACTGTGGAAGCGGAGACCCCCAGATGGAGAAGGACGGTTCCGCACGACGGCGACCTTCACGAAAGAGTTCAAAGTGCTCTCTGGTTAGGGGAAGGATTCCGTTGTGTTAAGCTCTTTTGGGGAAGAATAATCCTCAGACACAGTTAAAAGCGTGTGCACGTGTGCACGTGTGTGCACACACACGCTCGAGGAGGGCTGTTGGTCCTGCTGCTCCGGCGGGGTCTCTATCAGCCACCCGCCAAACGCTGTTGCTGGCCAGGGGCCGCCCCACGTGGAGGGGCCTGTTCCACTGGCACGTGCCCCTCCTACCTGAGGGGCCTGCAGCTTGTCGGAGGGGCTGGGCCTCCCCGACCAGCTGTCTGTTGAGTTTGCCAGTCCTGGTGTATCATAAAACGTTGTATTCACTTTGTGACTCAGAAGGTTCATTTCTTCCTGGGAATTCACTGTCCGCCCAGCGGAGACTGGCATGCCCGCTGGGTCTCGCTGGCGCCCCTGCAATGTTGCAGGACTCCAGCGGGAACTTGCTGAAGAAAAAGGCATTCCAGCTCTCCACGGTAGTCAGATCCTACAGAGACGGCTGGGATCCCTCTTGCAGAATGCAGAATCGCTTTTAAAAACCAACAATGCAAACCTGAGCTCATGCGATGCCCGGGTGCAGAGTAAGGAGGCAAAGAGAAGAAGGAATCAAGGACACCTTGCAAAGGGATGTTTACCGAGTTCTAGAAAAGTTTGCAGGGGCCACCAAGATTTGTACCTCCAGCGTGGTTTCTCTTTCCTTCAGCCTGTCCTGGCCCGATAAGCGAGCCAGTCTCTGGAGCAGGTGGGCAAAGAGCTTTCTGGCCACGTTTGAGTGAGTAGTAACTCGTTTCTCCCGTATTTGCTCTTTCCTGCCTAGATTCCTTTGTGGGCGGAGTCATCGGCCTCATTTTCGCGTACATTTGCTACAGACAGCACTACCCGCCGCTGGCCAACACGGCCTGTCACAAGCCCTACGTCAGCCTCCGCGTCCCGACCTCGCTGAAGAAAGAGGAGGGCTCGCCCGCCGACACCGCACCCACCCTGCCTCTGGAGGGGATCACCGAGGGCCCCGTATGACCAGCGCCCTGGGGACAGGGGGACGGATGGTGAGCCCGGGGCGCGCCCTTCCACCCGACATCACCACGCAGTAGGAGAGGTCTCCTGTAGTGTGTTTGCCATGCGTCGTTTCTCACAGTGACCCTTCCGCTTCCATGTTGCCGATGGTTCCCGCTCCTTGACGTGCCGACTCTCCGCGCGCCTGAGTTCGCAGAGGAAGGACGCAGGAACCATCCCAGCCCGGGGAGACGCGTGGAGGAGGCTGCCCGGGCGGGGTGGGTGCCGCCCGGTGGATTCTTCTGTCTGCCGCGTTTGCCGTGCGAGCCGCCTTCCTCTGTCTGTGTTCATGGTTGTAAAGCATAATAAAACCTCCCACCTGGATGATGTGGCGTTGGCCGTGCGGTGCAGCGAAGGTCGCTCGGGCGTGCGTGGGCTTCACAGCCGAGGCCGGGGCCGGTGGGCAGGCCGAGCTGCGGCCTCACACTCGGGGCCCCGCTCTGATGGCCCCTGGAGGCAGGAGCCCGGCCCCTGGAGAACCGCCGAGCCCCCCCACAGGTAGCCTGTGCGTCCTCAGTAGGCGGCACTTGGCGCAGCGTGTCGAGACCAGTGCAGAGAGGCCTCTGGGCTCAAAGCCCCCCAGCCCCGTGGCTTCGGGTGGAGACGGAGCCTGCGTCTGATTGTAGCGGGACAGCGGCCGCTGTGCCCTCTCTCTCAGCCCTCAGGTTACCGCTCCCACGGGCCTGGGGTGGTTTTCTGGTTCCTCCCATTACCAGCTCCTCCGTGCCATCCTGGGGTCCTGAGTCACGTTCGGGGAAAGGAGAGCCGGAGTCTGTGGATACCGCCCCCCCAGGCGATTCTCAGGCCCCTGTGGCTGGGAGCCCCTGCCCCTGCCTCCTTAGTCCCCGAGGGACAGGACAGAGAGGGGACTGTTCCTTGGTGTCCTCTGCCCGGGGAGGGAAGGGACTCTGAAATGACAATGTTTGACTTTCGGTGGAGACTTCACAGCACGTGTGTGCTGTGGGACCACCGTCACCTCATCTGCTTAAGACAAAACCTAGGCGTCTCCCCGAGGGTTTCTCTCCCAAGATTCTCCTCGTCGGGTGCGTCGGTCACTCCTCTTGGTCCCACCCTCAAAACACACCTCCCAGTCCTCCCGCCCTCGCTGTCGCCACCCTGTGTCACCCAGAATGCCGCGCCTCCTATGACCACGTCCACCTCCGCTTCCTAACCCACGGTCCACGCGGGCCGGACTGCATCCGTGTGCTCCTTTTGCACGAAGCCATCATTTACATCGAATACACGTCACCTGTGCCAAGCGCCCACCTTTTTGAGTTGTGATCACTGCGTGCAGTAGCACAGCCACCAGCACTGTCAGGGCACAGAACTCCCTCATTCCCGCCGTTTCCTGGGGCTCCTCTGCTTTCCGTCCTCTCTCGTCAACTGTTGTTAAAGTTTCACCTTTTCTGACATGTCACAGAAATACAGTCACACGCCACGTGGCCTTCCGTTACCTGCTTCTGCCTTTTTGGCGATCCATCCACCTGATATCCACCTCATGAGGGGTCTCCTCCTGGCCCCGCCCCCCTTTGCACAGGGTGCCTCCTCTCTGTCGCTCAGACTAGCTGCCCGGTTTCTCGCTTCTGCACCCAGGGGCCCTGGGCGCCCGACAGCTGCTCCTCAGGGCCTCTGGCCTGGCTCTGACTCTCCCTTCGGGGCTCAGCTCAGATGGCCCCCCCTCAAGCCCTCCCCCACTCACCACCACGATCCTCCACTCCTCTGCTCGCCACACCCCCTCTCCACACACACAAATATTTTCCTGTTATATTTTCCCACTAAGTTCCCACATGTCCCAGTTATAGCATTCTTATAAATCCTCATGGGTTGAATTTTGCCCCTTAAAATTTCTGTTTTAAAGTCCTGACCCTGGGGACCTCAGCAGGGGACCTCATTTGGACACGGGGTCTTTACAGAGGCAGGCAGTTCAAATGAGGTCATCAGGGTGCGCCCTATCCGGCGGGACGGGTGTCCCCTGACAAGGGGTCCGTTTGGAGACAGGCATTCACCGAGGGGAGACCGTGTGAAGACGGCCATCAGCTTCAGCAGTGGAGGGGAGAGGAATGCCTGGAACCTTCCCTGTTCATGCCTGGGTCTTGGACTTGGAGCCCCAGCCCCGTGAGACAAACATTCCTGTTGTTTCAGGGACCCAGTCTGCGGCCCTCGGCTACTCAGCCCCTTGAGCGAATGTGTCTGTTCTTTCTTCTTTCTGCCTTCACCCCAGGGATCCCTCTGTCTCGCTCACAGTTCTGACCCTCAATACATGGGCTCGTCAGTTTATTTTTTTTTCTCTCCATTATCCCTACAAGGGGGGCTCTTCAAGTTCAGGTCACCTGCTCAAGGCGACTCCTCTCAAAGCTAGAGGACTCCTGATTCTCGGTCCCGTGTCTCTCAGGGACCCCGTAGTTTGCCCAGGGTCTCCCTGAGGAATACGCCACCTCCTGTCCCCCTCCTCTCCCAGGTGGTGGGAGGGCCGGTCTGGTGGTACCTGGGTGGGCTCGGAGTTACGCCCTTGGGATGTGGGGAGAGGAGCGAAAAGATCGGTCAACCAAACCCAGATGCCTTCCAGGTGCTACAAGAAACAAAGCAGACCAACCGACTTAACAAAAGCCTTCTTTTCTTAACCTCGGTGCTGACCCCCCAACTAATTTGTAAAGCAGATGCCCCAGTCCTGTTCTCACGTGACAGAGTTTATTACCGTTTGACTGACACAGAGGTCTTTTGAGAACAGCCTCTTGCACACACAGAGCTGCAGGCCTGCTGGTTAAATCATGCTGGTGATCCAGGAGGCATCTGCCAGAAAGGCCAGGAAAGGAGAGGCCAGGGTAGCTTTTAAACAGACCCCCAACCCATCGCCGCCCCCCCCCAAAGGGCTATGAGGGTGCAAATTCAAAACCCCAGGGGTGGGGGGAGAAATGCAGGGGTGGGGGGTAGTGAAGGAGGCAGCAGAGGACTGCATTGCAAATATGGTATCTCTTTGAGTGGCGGAGCTTGAAGCAGGTTTGCAACAACCTGGCCCATTCAATGAAACCCGCCCCCCCCTCAGGTGCCTAAGTAGTGTAGCTACTGCTCTAATGCGAAGTTGGTTAAGTTTGGGGAACGATGTAATGTTTAATGTGCGGTTCAGCTCCGGTGTGTCCTAACTCTTGTAGGTCCTTTTGAGTGGTTCCTTCTCTGTGTCTCTCAGAGTGACTCCTCTGGGCGTCCATGCATCACCGTGGGTCTGTGACTTTAGTGCTCATTTCTGTTCCCGGCCAGCGTGTCTCTGCTCCTCAGTGTGTCAGTCCACGTGTCTCCGACTCTCTCGTCGTATTATCTGGCCGCCTGCGCTGTGCTAATGAGGTTGGTGGGCGTGGGACTTGACCGACGTCCCCTGCAGCGAAAGTGAGCACTTTCGTGGAACGGAAGAGTGTCGCAGAGAGTGAATGCTCGCTCCAAGGGTGTGAATGCTGCCTTGTTACCCCGGTACTGGAGGGAGGAGCCTCTCAAACGCTGTCATTTAGTAGCAAAGGCCTTTGAAACCTCTACAGGTATCTTCACTGTTGCCCTGTCTCCCCCACCACGGAAAGTTGGGCGTGTAGAACTACACACGCACTGGCCGTTCCAGGAAGTGCAGGGTCGTTTATGGAGATGTTGGTGTAGGTTGTGTCTCTGCTGCTGACAGAAAATGAAAAAGGGTGAGAACCTTCGCTTTCCTGTTCTCTGGGTTTTTCTCTCCCCCAGTCCCGAGGGTACTGTCGGGACGGTGCTGGGCGTTGGGGGAGGGGAGGCAGGAGGGCCGGGGGGGGGCGGGAGGGGCAGAAGGAGCACAGGTCTGTGTGTCGCTCTGGCTTAGACATGGAGGGGACGTCAGAGCACAGAACAGACAGCGTTCCTGCGCTCATGGAGGTCGCACTGGGAGGGGACAGAGAACTGTGCTGGCCTTAACAGAAGGGGGAGAAGGGGTCTGGGTGGGTAATGAGGCAGAGAGGGATGGAGGTTTGGTTGTGAGATCTGCCCGGAGAGGAGGGGGCCTCCTCGCCCCTCGGAGCCCCCCGCCTCAGCAGGGACCGATGGGTGTAAGAGCAGCAGGAAGGCAGTGGAAACTCTGTAGCTGGGGAACCATGTGGGTTTAGGCTGCTGGCGGGCCGACAATCTCGGGCAACCACGGTGCTCCAAAGTGTTCCCCTTCTTATAACTGCCCAGAGCCTTTCCATGAGGCCGGTGTAAGGACAATTCCCTGAGCCTGAATTCCTCGCAAGGCCAATGGGATTGGGGCGGGGACTCAGTCAAAGTGAATTTTCTTTAAAGAAAATAAAGTAACATGCTGTATCTTGCCCACTTAAGTCTGCCGTTTTCAACTGTCACCCAGGTGTGGGCGGAAGGTGTGTGCATTGCACCAACAGGGGATGTTTTTGCTCTTCAGAATACTGTCCCTTACTCCCTGTATAGTTCGTGAGCTGGGTACCATGTTTTGGCTGAAAGTAACACAGCAGAGTAGGTACGAGTAATAGCTCTAGAACCGCTCAGACCTCTCTCGAGCAGATTAGCACCCACAGATTTATATCCCGGCTCTCCCGCGTGGGCTGGGGCAAGTTCCCTGCGTTCTCTCACCCTGTTCATCTGAAGCGTGGTGATAAGGACCGTGTGTGCCTGAGAGATCCCTAAGAGAATGAGATAAATCAGTGCAGAATAAAGCACTGGGGAAAAGTGCTTTGCACCTGACAAGTCCCTGAGAAGAATGGCCTCTTACTTTTGCCATTTCTTGCTGACTAATAGTGGAGAAGGCACTCTGAGTCATCCCTCACCATGAAGCTTTGAACTAGAAGGCTTTGGGAGTTTTGTCCTTCTCCAAGTGCCAAAGGCGTGGGTCTCCCACGTGGCTTAGTCTCTTCTCTTTAACTAACAGTGGCCAAAAGCCACGATTACAAATTGGACCGACCATGCAGTGTCTTAACATATTTAAGAGAAGGATCTGGGTTCGCAGAAGAGCAGCCAAACTCAGTCGCGTCCAGGGGAAGTCAGGGCAGGGTTTGGGTTGCGTCCACGCAGCAGCTCTCGCCACAGTTCACAAACACAGCTTCCCTACTTTGGAACACTGGGCCCACCAGTAAAAAATAAAGCCCACCCCAGAGAGCAAGTGACCATCTTGACAAATAAACTGAAAAGAAGAATAAAAGTGGAGAAGATCGTGAAACAGAGACGTTGGCGCATCTGACCGGAAAGAGTGTGCTGGCGAGTGGTGATGTCTTTACAGAGCCTTTCACGTGCCTCAACAGGAGTCTCTGCTGGGAAGCAAGGAGCCTTCGGCTGCCTTACACGTTTGTTCCTTGG